CCGGTCACGTACAGTGTGTTGTTCTTCTCACGCTGAAAATAACTTACAAAATAGTCGCCGAACGGCATATCACAATACGCAAAAATATCGCAAAACCCAAAGTAAGCGCATTCGCCTGCGCTACGCAACCCAACGAGCTGCTCTCCCTCAAATAGTGGGGAAACGCGAGCTCACCGCTTCCTGTGCCGGCCGGAAATGCATCCTTGTGATGGATTAAAAATCCCACAAAAAGTGTCACGTCACAGTACTTGTGAAGAAAAGTGACTTGAGATATCAAGTGAGTACTATCAAGTAAAATATACTGTACAATTTCGTATAAAAATATTAATTGTTTTATAAGTTAATTGTTTTATAATTAATTGTTAATTTTATAATTAATTGTTTTATAAATTTGCTATAACCTTCTCTTCGAGGTTTTATTAAAATATTCAAGTTGTGCAAACTACTTTTTATTTTAATGCTCATTATCAATCCTAGAATTCTCAGAAAATTCTTTATAAAGTAAGTAAGCTAAATTTATTTTCTTTGCATGTAAAATTAAAATTTCAATATTGCATCTTTATCGTATAACAAAGATTATATGTACAGAGTGTCTGTAAAATTTTGACAAAGCCGAAGTATGAAGATAAATTGAGTCAAACTGAATGGAAAAGTTACTTGCCATTTTGCAAAATTCGCAATAGTTAATAAGATACAAAGTAATAAATATGTGCCAATGAGCGCGTGAGAAGCGATGGTCCTGACTCAGTAGGCGTAGGTATGTGACTGTCAGAGCAACGAGAGGCGGAGTGAACAAACAAGCGCGGCGTGTGTCTTGGCTGATTTCGCGATCAGCCGATATTCGGCGGTACGCAAAGGAGCGAGCAGCGCTCGAGGAATAAGAAACCACTGCTCTCTGCGATCAGCTGACAATCATACACGCCTACAGAGTCAGGACTATCGCTTCTCACGCGCTCATTGGCACATTTATTACTTTGTTTCATTAACTATTGCGAATTTTGCAAAATGGCAAATAACTTTTCTATTCAATTTGACTCAATCTATCTTCATACTTCGGCTGTGTCAAAATTTTACGGACACCCCGTATATACAGGCTGTCCCGTAATTGCCGTCTCACCGCTTGTAGACAGGTAGAAGGGGTTATTCTAAGACGAAAAGTCCTATACTACTTTGGAAGATTTGCAATAATTAACGTAATATTAATTAATAAAGATCCGCTAATCAGCGTGCATCCAGCATAAGGACAGCCCAGTCTGTCGCGCTGTAGCGACGGAATGGGAGTAACTAATAGAATAACATGTGCATACATAGACAGCATATAGGCTGCGTTCGGGCAGCGCGCTATCCGCGCTATTATATTTCGTCGCTACGGCGCGACAGACTGGGCTGTCCTTACGCTGGATGCACGCTGATTAGCGGATCTTTATTAATTAATATCTCGTTAATTATTGCGATCTTCCAAAGTGGTATAGAACTTTTTGTCTTAGAATAACTCCTTCTACCTGCCTACAAGCGGTGAGACGACAATTACGGGACACCCTGCATATTAAAGCTATCAGAAAATTTTCTATAGAATTTGATGTAACAACAAAAATATTTTTATATTAAATATAAGTCATATATTGATAAATATATAAATAACAATATGTATAAATAACTCTTACGAATACTTCTGAAGAAGATGAAGCACCAAGAACTTCTTCACAAAATATTCACAATTTACCAAGTTTATATTCACAAGTATCAAAAAAAGAAGAGTTTGTGAGAGATTGTTACAAACGAAGTATGAAAATATCATTTTATAATAATAAAAAAATATGTAAAAATAGTTTATCTAATGCATCACAATTTTTTATATTAATTTTCAGATTATCAAAAAAGTTATTTTAGAAAGTCCGTGCGGAACTGATATCTTTGAAGAGTACAATACAAAAGGATTTTTAAGTGATAGAAATAGAAGACGGATGATTAACATAGTAGTTAATCAAATGCTTATTTTGAAAAAAGAAGTAAAGCGTTCATTAACTTCATTAGATAAATGTCAATTTGCCAAATAGTAAAAATTTTCCCGAAATTACGAGATCCAGAAACTGCATTAGGCTATGTAAATATACAATAAAAACAATATTTAAACAGTACATTAAAATATAAATATTTCATTAATTTATTAAAAGAAAAATTTTATATTTTGTACAAATTTTATATTATTGTACATTTATATTCTATTGCTATTGTATGCTTTTTAGGAATCTTTTTATGATCCAGTAACTAAAACAGGTTATTTAGCAAATAGGCTCTCCAATGTGAGGAGAAGTATGAAAAGAAAAAGAACATATAATGAAGAATCTGAAAACAATAGAAACGTCTCAAATATTAACATTACAGAAGATGAAAATAAGAACTCAAGCTGAAATTGATGATATCATTCTTTTTCTTAAAAGTGCCACACAAGATCAAAAATTACAAATTATTTCTAAACATAAAGACATATTTCAGTACAGAAGAAAATTTTGTTTAAATATTAATTTTTTGATACATTTCCAAGATTCTTAGATACACCTGAATTGGTAAGTTAATATTTTAAACAATTTTATAATATATTATATAAACAATAAAATATACAAATATATTTA